CTTGCAGGCAGTTGACAGTCAAAGTAAACCAAGCAGCTTGGCTTGGCCTGCTTGAAGCCAGCTGAAGGTCATTTTGCTATGGCCATATACTGCTCGAACAGTTTAGGGGCTTAAGAAGTAGCCTCGAGTTGGGATTCGCTTATTCCCAATTCAAAATGTCCACCAGCAGCCAATTAGCCAGGTTCTTATGAACTGAGTTCAGAAGTGCCCGCAGTTCTTGGCCTTTTACTCTAAGCGCACTTCTTAGACATTAGTTCGAATCTAATTAAATATAACCGACAGTAAATAAAATACGTAATTTGAAAGAAAATTGGTAAATAATCAAGAAGTATTTTATTTATTTATTCACATGTAGAATAGTTTAGTTAAAACTATAGCTAATTTAAGAAAACTATAGCACTGGCTGAGACCTTTGACTTTGTACAGTATTTAAGTGTAAATTTATCAATATTACAATATTACAATATCTAAAATTAGAGTGAACTTTGGTTAAAAGTATAGAGACAACTCTTAGACACAGTAGCACGGTGAGCACCCGCCTCTCATATGTTAGACTCCCTTCTGCATTATTATAATTTATTACGTTCCACGGCTTGAGCATCAAAATACCATATATTAAATATTTCAAACGTTCACCTAAAAGCATTTCTGTTAGTTGTCTGAAAATATTTGCATAATTTCTCATCTGATTAACGAATATTATCCAAAATTTACTAAAGTGTAAACATTTGCCAAAAACAATTTGTTTCTTCGCCCCAAATATTGAACAAAATTTTAGCACTGCTTTAGCTTATGTCAAAAATTCGAACATAAAATTATTTGTATTTTTTTTTCAATATAACAATCATTTTATAATGATTTTTGACGCTTGCTTTCTCTCGCTCCTTCCTCTATGTAATATCATTAAAGTTAATGCCGTAGAAAATTCGATTATTTACAATTTTAGCACTGCGCGTAAAATTGCAATCGAACGTTTCGGGCTTTCAACAACGTGGCTATTAAAAATGGTGCGCACCAGTGTTAGTTTATGTGAAATTATTTAGCTTAAGTATTGCCTAAAAATTAGTCATCACGTTTATTTGTCAGTTATTGGCGTGTGTTCACATGCTGAAGTTAACGTGCCCAAAAGTTTTTAATCAAAACAGCAAAACGAAAATAGAAAATGGAAAATCGAAAATAGAAAACGGGCCAAAGTTTTCAATCTCTCTCAAATGTCGAAGTATTTTTCGACACACTCAACTGGGGGCTGTCAACAGCCAATTTTGCACATTTCCAGTTGCGAGGGGGAGATGGAGAGTGAGGAGGGGAGAGAGTGAGTGAGGACGATTGTGAGTGGAATTATAGCTTTATAGGAATTGCCGATGGTCGCATACACTACCTTTGACTGTTATATTTACAAGCGTGGCTCGAGCTGATTCTTTAAACATATCAAGCGTCCTTCAAAATTGGACTTCTCTTCATAAATTTCTTACCATTAAATATTTCTATTTGTAGATTTATCCTATGGAAGCTATGTTAAGACAGATCCATTTTTTTGTATATTGCCTCACTAGCTTTCTGCAGCAACTGTATCAACTTTATGCATTATATATCCACGGAAACCCCAGTTCAGCTAGACTTCTCTATATCAAAAGAATCTACAAGTCTTCTCTTCAAAAGATCACAGACATCGTTTTGCAATTAAAACGCCATTTTGGTAGCGTATAAGTGGAAAGTTTTTCGCCCGTGCAGAGGCCGCTGTATGTCCAGGTTCCAGGCCCTAGTGTGTGTGTAGTTCCCGTTGAAATTTCTCCTTTACTTTTGCAGTTCAATGTTTTACTTTTATGCTGTTTGCAGCCCGCTGCTGCTGCTGCTGCTGCTGCTGCTGCTACTACTGGTGCCGCGCCCCACTTGCCACATGGAAAATTTACTCGGGGTTCATTTGATTTGCCCGAAAACTTTGGTGGCCACAAAAGTTTTAGCTCTCGGTTCTTGGCAGTGCCGGCGTTCAATGCATTTGATTTTGTGCGCACTGCCAAAGTTTTTGCCTTAAAGAATTGCGAATTGAATGTTTGTGAGTGTGTCTGTGTGTATGTTGGTCTTGTGTGCGTTGGTGTATGTGTGCTTGAGTGCAACATGTTTGCTGCCGAAATGAACGGCGGCGCGTTGAATAAAATGTTGACAGGAAGCAAACTGCAAAACTGCCAAGTGCCAAGGCTTACAAAGAACGTCCAAATATAATTGGTGCGCAGTTGAAAAATGCTCGCTATAAGTATGTGTGCGTGTGCGGGCTTGTGGGCGTGTGTGTGGTTGTGTTGTGCCAACAATGGCGTCCAATTATAGCGCGAGACGTGCCACAATGGCCAACGATTTGATGTTATTTGAGTGCTACAAGCGCCTTTGGCTGATTGATTGGCTTTGGCCAAAAGTTGTTGCCTACTTTAAGGCGACGCCCCAGCTAGCTGCCCCTCCTCCCGCTTCACCCTCAACTAAGCAAAACACTTGCATATTTGTAGTTATTATTTAAATTACATTTATTTTCTCATGATAATCACTTGTGTTTTGTTTTTGTTTTTATATTTATATTTTAGTTGAATGCATTTTGCTTATGGTTTATCAATGCAAACAATTGTATGGCTATTTTTCGTTTGTTTTATTCTTATGCTGGTCTTACAGTTGTTCTTGTGTGAGCCAGGGGCAAGTTTAAAGATTTAATCGTATTTTTTTTAGTTTTTATTTCATTAAATTCATATTCATCAAAGTTTGTTGTAAAGTTGAAATTTTACATTGAAACTTTTAAAATGATTTTCTTGCATGATTTCTATTTTTTCTCTTTTTTTTAGTTTTGTTTTTATTAATGTTTTTCTTTTTTTTTTTGTTACCGAATACAGTACACACTTATTATTAATTTCTGACTTTATGTTGTCTTGCTTGCGCTTGCCCATTATTTAGTCAATGGCTATTAGCGGCCATATGCTTTAATTAAAATATTTACAGTGGGGAATATGCATAACAATGGAAACCAAACGATATTATTTTTAATGCTCTTTTCTTTTTTTTCATTTATATTTTATATTTGCATTCATATCAACTAAAATCAAAGAGTGCTGGCTTTAAATGTGGGACTTTAGGCATACACAGACAAACACGCACACATCGAGCAAAATGACATTTGGTATTAAAATGGGATTTCCGTAATATGCCATGATTTCGGTTTATGTTCTTGCTTTGCTTTTATTGTTTTTTAAATATTATTATATTAATTTTTGCGCATTTTGCGCTCTTTTTTTTTGCACTAATGAATCTATTCAAAACTCATGAAATTTGTAAGATTTGTTTATTATGTTATTAGTATATTTGTTATGCTTTATGTGGCAATGAATGTGTTTGTGTTTCTTTTTTCCCGTTTAATGTAATGCTTCTGTATTTTATATTTTATTTATTTTAAATTTTTGCTTAAATTGTACAACACACAAATATGTTTTCATATATTTATTAAATGTGATTCGTTTTTTTCTAGTTTTCTTTTTGTATGCTGCGCAAAAAAACAGTCCGAGAGAATTGTACATATTTGATTACGTAGATGTTGGTTTTAATCTTCAGGTTTTTTCTTTTAATCTTTTTTTATGTAAATTTATTTTTAATGAGAAAGCGTAGAAAGTAATTATGAAATGTAGCATACTCTATACTAGCTGCTGGTGTGCTATGGCTTAACTATCAATTTTGTTGATTTTCTCATGTTACTAGGGATTTATTTTTTGTGTTTGTTTTTTTTTTTAAATGAATTTCCTATTCTTTTTATTTACTTTAGTTTTTAATACTATTTAGTTGAAGCAGCAACATCTAAAGTTAGCCTCTTCGTGCTTCTGATTGCTGTTCAATATGCTATATACTACATCCGAGCTATAGTTTGTTTGTCTGTTGTGCAAATCGTTTTGGTTTTGACATTTTCAATTGTTGCAATTCTTTTTGGCTGTGCAATTAATTACAATTTTGACTCTGACAGCTGTGCCAAGCTCTGTACCTGCCCCTACCGTCCCTCCCTCTTTCTGTCCCATTTGTTCACGTGCTGTTTTCAAGTTTACAACAATGCCGGATTTTATATTTTTGTTTGTTCAGTCATTTTGTGTGTTGTTCGTGTTGTTGTTGCTGTAATTTATGTATTTTCCACTTTTATTTACACTCGAAATAAAATAAATAATATATATTTGCGTTTGGTTTTCCTGTGTTGTTTTTTGTTTGTTGCCTTGCCATTAGCAATACAATTTATTTTATTTACAAACTTAATAATGCAATTAATTATTGTAGTTTTTCTTTTTATAATTTGTTTTTTTTTATTTTTAATTTTTATTCTTTATGTCTATGCCTTGGTTTTCAGTTAGTAATTAGTAACAGTAATAATAATAATAACGCTTGGTATGTTTGTGTATTTTGTATATATATATATATATATATATATATATATATATTTATTTATGGACTGAAATTGGCTACTTATGCAAAATGGTTTTCTTTTTTGTTTTAGTTTTTCTTAATGATATAAATATGTATGTCATTTGCATATGCATATAGCTATATATAGTTCTAAAGTGGGATTCATGCAGTTTTCAACTGCTGAAGACCAGTTAAATCAAAATCAAATTGCAATTTGCCGCTGATTGCTTTTGGCAAAACTAAAAAATAACCAAAAGATAACTGCAAACAATTAAATTCACATCTGAACTGAAATTGTATTTAATAAACTTTAACAATTACTTTAACTTACACATACATACACATATATAATTAATAAAAAACTTGTTAAACATACTGTACACAATTTTGTTAAATGATTATCCAACTTAACTTACGCATAGCTAAATTTGCTTGATGTTTTTCTTCTTCTTCTTCTTCTACTTGTGTGTGTTTGTTTTTCAAGATGATTTTTACACAGCAATGTATCCTTTTGTTTCTTCAATGGTACTTAGCTTATGATTTACGCTAGTTTTTTGGTTTTTTGTTTTTGTTTTTTTTTTGGTATATTTGTTATTGTTGTTGTTGTTAAGTTCTAACAATGAAATAGCTTAAATAGGATTTTCATACTTTACTATGTATATATTTATATTATTTATATTTGTATATTCCATTTTGTTTTTTTCGCGCTATATTTCTGTGTGGTATTGTAGGTGCTTAGGTCAAGAAAATGCGTCTGCAGCAGGAAATTAAGAAAAACAATATGCGCAATGAGTTTTACAATAAAAGATTACGCTGCGTTGCGTACAAGCGACTTTTGGGGGACGTGGCTAATACTCACCTAACAACGACCGTATTTAGCAGCAGACAGGGCGCCAGCATCGACCTAAATATGTGCGTGATGCGATCGGCCGAGGAAGTCTTACGCCTCGAGATGGCCGCCATGTTGTCGCCTGCAATAGACAGGATTTATATACATTTGTATGGGATATATCTGTATATACATATAAATGTACATATATATAAATAGAATTACTTGGCGACAGATACGCTGAATTTTCATTAACATTTTAATAAGCTGCAGGCGCTGCGCACAATTTGCATATTTTCATTTACACTTCTTATCGAGGATACGCTGCGCTTTCGCGATGGCTATTTAAATGCTAAAATCACAAGAAATTCAATTTGGCCGCGAGGCAGTCATGCAAATTGCATGCAACTGTTACGTGCAACAATCTGTGCATATTCCCCTTTCTTAGCCGTTTCTCTCTCTCTTGGCAATTTGCACGCTAACGCTTAGAGCTGAGCAGCTGCCTGGCCCGGAGCATCAGAAGTAGCAGCTGTTGTTAAATCTATGCTCAGGTTTCAGCTTAGCTGGCGCTCATCTGTGATTCTCACCTTTTGATACAAAGACATAAATGCTAGCTGGCTCGGTGTTGCTGGCGGAGCAGGTGTAGTTGCCGGAATCGGTGATTTGGGGCTCGCGTATGATAAGACGGCTCTGGGTGCGGGGACCCGGTGTCGTCTCAATGGATATGTCCCGCCTGGAGTCATAGTAGTTGATGAGACGATCGTTTTTCTGCCAGTACACGTACTGCGGTGGTGTTGGACTCTGTGCGCAAAGAGAAAATACATAGCAAATGCTTGAGAATATATGTAATATTAAGTATACGCACGCGTTACATGTGTACATATTACGCATACTTAATTTTTTGATTGACTAAAACTATTAAAAAGAGCAGAGAATAAGTATAAATAAATGACTAGTAAATTCTAAGTATACGCACGAGTGCATATATTTCGCATACACCACGTGTGCTGCGTAAACGAATGAGAAAAGACTTAATCGTTTAATATTGGCTAAGAGTAAGAGCATTGATAACTAATGACATTTTTAAAAACATACACATTTAATGAATCGTCACTAGATTTTGATTCCCACCTAAAATTTATCATACGTTTTACTATACTGTTACTTAAATCTCTCTAAATTGTATTAACAGTTATGTAATTTATTCATCATAGTTTACGATTGGTTTTTTTTTTTATTTTTAAATATATATATTTATATTGCATAAACTCAAAATTAATCGTTACTAGTTAGCGATACCAAAAACAAAGATCTGGATCGTTTTGCAGCACTTATCAAAAACTCTCAAAATAGTTTTGAGTCTGAATCGATTTATCGCATCATACAATTGCTATCGAATATTTAATTTCTTCTCATTTCTTTATGTAATTCCGATTTTTGTTTGTGTATTCTTTTGTGACTTTTCGTACTTACCTTCTCAATAATGCAAACCAAATTGATTGTTGAGCCCATATCGACATGCAGTTCACCGGAGCCAAGTATAAATGCCTCGGGCACAACCACTTGAAGATTCACAAAGTGCGAAATGATGCCAGTCGGTGTGGAGACCTATACGATGGAAAAAGTGAGCTACAAGTTTGAATTTGATTCGCATACGCTTAAGCATTCGATGTAATCAACTCGAATGTTAATGCATCAGTAGATACTGAGCCACGGCATCACTCAAGTAGTCAGTCATTCATCCACTCAGTCAAGCAGTCAATCAGTCAGTCAGTCACTCAGTCAGTCAGTGTGCGCATTAGGTTTGTATTACGACACAAGTTTCCTTAACCTCTTGCTGCTGTGCCCGAAACTGGCCCAGTGAAACGTTTTGAGTGCAAGAAATGTTGCACTCATTGAAATGCAAATCAAACAATTTCAATTTGGCACGCAAAATGAAACAAAAACGAGCATTTTCTATATAAGTGGAAAAGTGCTGGCGCTTTCCTGCAACACACGCTGCATACGAAAAATAACCGTTGGCTCGAGACGGGCAGCCGGGCGAACACCAATTGCACTGCAATGCAAAAGGAAAAATAATCATTCCGGCATATTTGCATGCAGCGCTCGTTGAGCGCCCCAAAACTGAACCGGCTGCCCCGTCTCTGACAGACTGCCAGACTGGAGGACTGTGGCATGTGGACTCTATCTCTGTGCCTGCCTCTCACACACACTCTAGCTCTCTTTTGCTCTCATATTGAACCTGCATGCAAACAATTTTTGAAATTGAAGCAACGTTTCAGGCATTTCCCGCTGCCCGTTGCCCGCTGTCTCCAAGCAGCAGCACTTGTGCGGCTGCTGCACAAACAGACTTACTGTCAAGTGTCCATTTCAGGCGTTTCCCCAAAACTTTGTTGCTTTTCGGTTAGTTGTCTCTCGACTCGACTCAACTCGACTCGACTCTCTTACAATGTTTTCCCTATCCTTTTTTTTTGGCTCTGACAAAACACGCCTCTTGCCATATCCGCATGACTTTCGGCTTTGTCTGCTGGCTTACTTTTGCATTACTTTGAATGCATACACACATTGGGTGTGTGCGTGAGTGCAAGTCACTGGCTAAATTTGTCAATGTCCAGTTTATCTGGCAGCCGCAGCGTCTGCGCTTGACAGCCACATGGTTTCGGCTGTGCCCGGCCAAAAGCCTGTCAACGTCATGTACATGCGAACACGTATGCGAATGCGAATGCGGATGCGCAGACGCCCAGCAGGTTGGCTTAAATCGAAGCTGTTAAAAAAAATGCTGCATTTGCATATTACAATTAAATCAGGCGCCGTATAAAAATCGACAGTGATGTGGAAATCAACGTAAACCAAAAAGGGCCAACAAGTAAAAATTGTATGTACCAAAAGCCCAAAAACCTCAATATTGCGTATACGACACCGCCTCCCCCCTGTAACCGAAGTGGAGCATATGCAAATGCACTTTAGTTCATTTCAACTGCATTGCATGCATAAAATATATGAAATTCCAGCATTTCCCCACTCACCTGGCACTCGTACATGCCGTGATCCCGGCGCTGCACAAACTTTATCTGCAGCGTCCACATGTTGGAGCCGGGCGTGTGGAGTATCGCGAAACGTTCATCATTTGTATAGAGCTGGGCGCCCGAGGATAATATGTGCCAGTCCCGGCGCCGTATCCAAGATATTTGATTCTGTTAACAAAGAAACAAAAAGTTTAATATAAAGCAAACCTATATACACATACACACATGCACATTATTGAATGCCACGTTAATTGGATAAGCGCTCGAAAGTAGGCAACCGAAAATTTAAAATTCCAACCACGCTACACTCGCATGCAATTACATATTGTCGCCATTTTATAACTGTGTTTATAAAAAACTCTATAAATAGCTCTGCCTGTGTGTTTGAGCCGCAGCTTTGGCCTATTTATAAAACGAATTTAATAGTAATAACTTGCAAGCAACAATAGGTTGTCTTTTGTGTTTTTTAATGGCATTTTGATACGACTTTAACGCAAACAGATCAAAATGTAAAGGAAATAAGTTAAAGCATATTTATAATTATTTACAACCACAACACATTAAATATATTTATATCTACATCATTTGCAAGAGGAAATGTTTAAAAAGTAACTGGCCAAATAAAAGTTTTAACAGTGGGTTTATTTTTATTTCAGATAAGCCAAAAGCCAAACGCATTTCAAATGCCATTTTTGTGTCGGCATCAGACAGCTCTCTCCGCTGTGTGTTAAAAATGTCGCTTGGCCAAAACAATTGTTGATCCCCTGGGCAAATACAGCTGACAGCCAATGCAGCCGACGACAGCTTAGGTAAGATCTACTCTGCTTAAAACTTATTGCTATTGTCTGAAATTGTATAATTTTAAGTTTATATTTATTTTCCTAGCTTAAATCGTTTTGCTCTGCATCAACTTCTTTGGCTCATTGCCCCGTGTCTTGGGCTTTGATTAATTGATATTTTAGCAATTGTGGGATCGTCTGTGGCATTGCGTTCCATTCTTTTGTGTTGCGTGTCACATTTGGCCATTTAATTGCTTGTTAGCAAACGTTGAATGGCAAACAAAGTGTACACAATGTCATGGCAAACGTTTTCTGGCTTTCAGCTGCAAATTAAACTCGTATTTGTATTTCGTGCTCAACTGCCAAACAAATTGGACATTTGCGTGCCCGATTTCACGACGACATAAAATACAAATAAGCAGGCAAAATAGAAAAAACCAAAAACAAAAAATAAAAAATAAAAAAAAAAAAAACTGAAAGCCATATAATTAAAAACTACAAAAATGCAGCGCAATTTGCAAGCGAAGCTTAAATTTAATTTTTGTTTTTGCTTTTGTTGGCGTGCGGCGTGGCATGCATAAAATGACTTTAGCTTTTGAGTACTAGGCTAGGCGTGCTAGGATTGGGTAAGCCGCGGCACAATTAGAAAGACAAAAACAAACCCAATTTACACCCACTCGATCCACGCCGGAGACCTTGCAGACGAGAAAGGCGGTGCCACCCAGCTGAACGGTCGTATTATGCGCCATCAGCTGTGGGAGAAAGAAATGCAGAGTGGGGAGAGGGAGAGAGAGAAAAAAATACAAGACAAAAAGTTAAAAGTTCATTTTTTATGTGTTGTCTGTAATATAAAAGGTAGATGGATAGCCAGACAGAGTGCGGCCCATTACAAAGAATGCCATGAAAAAAACGAACCACGTCGCAAAATTAGTCAGCAGAACAAAGCAGCATATACTACACATATATATACATATATAAGTATATGTGGTTATATATATAGGGATATGCTCGATCTGAGCGCTGTCTAATTATATAGGTTGAGTGGCGTGGCCTTTTTGGATAATTGGATAGACGTACCGCGGGTGCGCGAATGTAATATAAATAAGCACTAAAGATTAATTAGACTTGGCTTGGTCTTCATGTTGTATGGTAATTAGCATTATCCTGGCCAAACTATTTGCATGTCCTTCGTGCCTTGTCGTATTTCGTAGCCATCAAATTAACATATTGATCAACACTGGCCAGCTGGCAATTGTCCTTGCTCTACGTGGTCTCGACTTGCAGATGTACAAGTGCCACTTGCAGCACGAACTAGCTGCAGCTGTAGCCGCCGTTAGCTTTGAAGTCAATTCAATTTGAATTTAAAACACACTTCGTTGCACTTCATCGATGTCCGATGTCCTTGCAATTGGGCTAACTGTTTGAGCATTCGCTCTGTCCGTCTGTCTGTCTGTCCGTCTGTCCAGTTCATTCAATTTTCGACTTACCTCGCTGTCCTCGAACATGGGACTGTCGCTGGAGTCGAGATTATTATCCAATTTTGAGTCGGCATTTATACCATTGCGCGTCCATAGCTTCTTCCAATCGTTATCTGTGAGTATTGACTTTTGGTCTGAAATCAAAATGGGAAACAAAGCGTTGGACAAGAGACTAACAAATACGCCAAGTCAAAAGTGAAATCAAAAATAGCGTTTAAGGGCGTCTTCAAAACTTAACTTCAGTTTGGCAATCAGCAAAAATATATTTATATATAACTTTTTTATTGCGCACTGCAATTGCCAGCGAAAATCTACTCCTGTCCCCTTCACCATCTGCTCTTTCTGCGCGTCTTGAAAAATCAGTTACAACTGTTGAAATAATCAAGCATTTGATTGACATAGAAAAACTCAGCGTGTTATTTACGACTATTGCCTCGACATGGCATTTATTGATTGCCCTTAACGCTTCTCCCTGTTTTTGTCACACGCAAACACACACACACATGCTCACTTCATGAAGGGGGCACAAATCGCTTCCTATTGTCCTTGTTTAATTTGTGTTTATTTTCGTAGCACGCAATGCTGCTATATCTAAATGTAATTACATTAAGTTTGTGGCCAACTTGAAAAATTGATTATTAGCTGGAAGTTATTAAGTTTACAGACCAATTATCTTGTGTGCTGCTCAGTAGAAAAAAAGACTGCGGAGATTTGATTAATTCTTACTTGGCAACCAGAAAAATCTTTTACTACTGAATTGCAACTCGTGAGGCACTGCGCATTTTTAAAAGAGAAAGAGATAGTGAAGGAAATATATAATATATGTCTGATAAATACATTTCAATTGCGAAAACGAATATTAAAGGCCTCCTGCTATTATTTAAACTTTAGGGAAATCGCATAAAAAGGCTCATATTTGTTAAACATGGATATTTCTTAGATTAAACAGCTATATATTTCTCTATAAATGTCTTAAATGTATAATATCTCCCTTTTTTCGTGCAACTTGTTATTTTCAAGAATTTCCGCTGAATTTCTTTGCATATCACACGACGATGACCTGCAACTCTTTTTTTATTCTTCTTATTCATTTAATCAGTTAAATAGCTGCTTAATTTTGTCACAAGCCCTAATATTTGGCGCGTCATACTCCGCCACACTTTATGGTAAATAAAATCGATTAAAATGAAAGCAAATACCGATTAATCCAATTAGTCTGCACAAACAAAGTTACTTTAAACAATGAGGCAAAGTCTGGCCAGGGTCTTGACCTAAACTGCGGTAGTTAATAGATCAAATAGTCGTCACCAAAAACATAAGCCGAAATCTACGTAGAATTACTTTCCATAGTTGTTAATGCTTGTAAGTACTATATTGGGCTACTTGCAGCTAATAATAAGCTATTTATGTAAATAAGAAATTCTAGATTCGAAGAAATGCGTAGCAGAAAGAGTAGAAAATAACTTTGTCAACAGTTTGGTTGTATAGCTGACCTTTGGATGAGCCGCATAAGTGAGGGCAATATGACCCAAAGTTGTGGGCTTATACAACCGACTTGTTAAGCCCAGGAAGTTTCTTTGACCCTAATACGAATATAATTAGTTTATAAGTTATAGAGTTGTAGCAACCGATAGGAACAACGGACAATTTTACAGAATTTAAAATTTACAATTTTACAATGCTGCCTGGCAGACACAGACAATTATTAGAATGCAATTTATTAAGTATACGCCCCTGCTAATTTGAATCTGAGTAAGTGCAACTATAATTTTCATCAAGTTTGGTGTTTACTTTAATTAGGAAACTTTGATTGCCCTGGCAACCCGGACTGTGAGTGGCTGACCCGTGGCCAAATTAAATTTCCGCCACGCTGAACCACAGCCAAGTCGAGTCCCTTTGCTCCTTGATGTAGCATTTTTTAATGGGTTGCGTGCTCAAGCAGCTGGAATATGACTAACCAACGAGAGGTGAGCTGGGGGCTGGGGGTTGGGAGCTGCTTGTTGATAGGCGCGGCTTCAATATAAACTCAGCGCTGTAAAAGGGAATTTAATCAATCAATCAGCGGTGCGTAGTGCAGGAAAAACTTTTAAGCAGCCGGCGCACACGTGAACATTTAACCTTGGCCTGCTACACCCAACCATCTGCAATTGGTTGTGCGTGAAAAAGAGGCAATGCGCAGTGCCTCACTCCCCAATGCCGCGCCCCTCGCCCCCTATTTACCTACTGTCTGCCTCGCTGTAAGCTATAAAATACAGCGTAGCCAGCTCGCACTTTTATTGCCTCGTAAATTTTTATAGTTCATACTTTGGGCAAAACCAGCTACACATATCTATACACTTGTATTTCTCTGTATCTGTGTGTGTGTGTGTGTGTGTGTAAGTGCGTCTTATGCTTTGCACTTGTATTTGTTATTGAATTTGTATTCGTTTCGTTCTCGCATTTGTCGAGTACATGCGCATTGTCCATGCTGTAATTTATGCGCCCGTTTTGCTGCCAATGACGTCAAAGCTTCATTTAAGTCTCGCTGCTGCATTGAGTTTAAATTTTTCGTACATACCATATTTATTTGGCGTTGAGCACATTAAAACTCGACAGACAATAGCAATGCGCCATTAATAACAACAAACATGCCAGAGGGGGACGGCAACGACGAGGACGAGCGCTTTATGACAGGGTCAGGTCGATTTCTGTGGTCAACAGCAAAAACACTTCGCTCAAGTCAACATATATTCAGCTGAGGAGCCAAAGGAATATAAGTCTGAAAATTCTTTATCTTTGCATTTGTATGCATGACAGCACAAACACACGCACACGAACACACACACGACAGCCACACACATGCACACTGACAAGCCGAAATATATTGCGCATGTTAAGAGGAATGTAAATGCTCAGACACAAATACAAATACAAGCAGCAAAAGCCACCGCTAGCCCAGTCCCCAGCATCGTCTAAGGTCAAGTGCCAGTCGCACTACGAGTCTAGTGTGTGTGCGTGTGTGTGTGTACGCGCTATAATAGTAAAAAAACACGCACTGCTAATAAAATGGCTAAGAGTCGCGTATTTCAGCGCGTCGCTGCTTTCTTTAGCAGCTTTCTTTGCCTTTCTCCGACCGATACGTGCGCATGTCAGCCGCCTGCGGTTTAGGCGTGTGAATTATATAATGCCTGAAAATAGGCAACTGTAATATAACTTGGAGCAAAAAGCAAAATAGAAATGGCGAACGCCTTCGTCCAATGGCCACCCACAAACCGGATGTCCTGCAGAAATATAGCACAAGCTGCAGAAATACCCAGAAAAACTTTTGTGAATAGAGTCCAACTGAACGAAAGGCAAATGCCCTGTAGTTAGTTAAGTTGGTTAGTTAGTGCTCATACCTTAAACATAAATCTACCTTTTTATATAAATATAAATGATAATAAGCAAATATTTTCTTTTGCTTTTGCTATTTATATAAAATATGCTTTTTGATTAAATTTCATGGCACATACCGTTTGCTGTCTGTTATCTATCTATTTTATAAACCCTTGCTTGTTTTGCAGGGTATACAAATTATGTAATTTCTTTGCCTTTCTTACAATAATAAATAATATAACAATTTTTTGTATATTTTGTTGCAATTGTCTTTGGCATGCAGATCGAATTGATTTGTGCAATGTAAACCCTTTGCTGATTTGCTCAACTTTTGCAGGGTAAACCAAAGAATATGTAAAAGTCGCTTTTAGCTTTTTCATACCATTTCCTGTTAGCTTTTTTTTTTTGGGTGGGCAACTGAAAAGCGATAAATAATGAAGTCAGCAAGTGCGACTGGCGTGGCTTGCATGTTTATTATTAATAATAAATATTTCTTGTCAATCCTGCGAGCGTTTAAGTTCTATGGCACCAAAGCACGATACATGCCCCTTGTTGTTATTGTTGTGCGCACTTTTCATGTTTCTAAAATGATTATTTATCTGTCTTTTACTTGGCTCCAAAACACACACATACACACACACACACAGATATACATACCGAGCGAGGCAAGCAGCATGGCGTATGCGTAATATTTTAATGCGCTGTCAATATGTTGGCGCTGTCTGCCGCCAGTTAAGCCCGAAAGCTGCTTAACTCAACGCTCCTTGGCCAAAGTGCTTAGCAGTTTTTAAGCTGCCTGACAGCCTCCTGGCTGCCACCTGCCACTTGCTGCCTGCTGCTGCCAGCCACCTGCTGTGGCTGCCTAAACCTGAGCTCTGTAACCCCTCTAAGCCAAAGATCGCGCGTCTAGCGTTACAAATGCCTTCAGCTTAATATGAAAACCACTAAGAAAATTTGCAAAATAGCTGAAATTGTACAGCGCATTAGAAGAGCATCCAAAGGCAAAACTCATTTGCACTTGAAACATGAGCGCGAGTGTAAACAAATGGCAAAGGGCGGATGGAGCGAGAGCAAAAAAAAAAGGAAAACATTGCAAAAGTAAGCTGTGTAGGTGTGTGTGGAGTGTGAAGTGTGCGTGTGTGAAGCTGCCCTGTCGACCTTGACGCAGGCAAATTGCCGGAGCCAAGCAGACAGACAGAACGTGTAGGCGTGGGGCCTGAAGAGAAAGTGTGTTTGTAGAAGACAGAAGCTGACACGTGTATTTCTGCCGCTGCTTCTTCTTCTGCTGATGTTGCCTGCCTGTCAGCTAAAAGTGCTAAGCTGACTTTCCTGGGTTTGGCAGCAAGCGTATATAACTTATATATAGTATATATTTATTTATATATATTCAATGTGTGCAGTGCGAACTGTAGGGCTTCACAGAAAGCCGGCTTCAATATTTGCCGAGTAGTTGCTGAGAAGTTGTTTGGCTTTTCTTTTGAAATACGAAAAAAATAAATAAAATGTCTGACAGTTGTGAGGAGCATTTTCCGCTGTTCGGGCTTGTGAATTATTTGCATATTTTCCATTTTCATTTTCATTTGTTTTTGGGCCACTTTAAAACAAAACAAAAACAAACTCTCTTGTCATTTGCTTTGGCTGAGTTTGGGCTTTTTGTGCATAGATTTCAAAGCCACAAGGCGTGGCAATAAATTTTCAATTTTTGCGCTGTCACACAAGCTAGCCCCATCCCACGCCCGGAGGCGGCGTAATGAGCGCACCGCGAGCCGATAAGGTGTCGCCATTGCTTTGTTACGCTTCATAATTTATGCGTAACGCGTTTTGGCAAAAACCAAAACGAAAAAAGAAACAAAAAAAGAAGCGACTAAAAAAGCCTCTCAAGAAGGCCTTAAAAATGGGCAAACAAAGCGCAACGCGCATGCCGCATGGGGGCAGGCTTTTAGGTCAAAACCAAAGCCACAAGGGCAACAGTAACAGTTACAGTAACAGCAACAAAAAGTGAAAGCGGCAACAAGAACAAGAACAACAACAACAAAGGGCGAGTCGCCCTTAACGCTAATCTCTCCCCTGTGTATTTTTCATTATCGTTATTATTTGTGAATGTAACGTGTTGGCCATAACTTAGAGCGGCTAACGATGCGTATACGTGATGCCGCGCATACACACTTGAACTTAGACACACACACACATACACGCGCATAGATTGGGGCTGGGGTGCGGCATGCTTTTAGGCGGCCGCGTTCGTTTAAACCAAATTAGCAAAAGGTCAAAAAGTGCCGCGAGCTGCGCGTCGTGTCCTGCGTTCTGCGCTGAGCGCTGAGCTGTGAGCTTGATGAAAAATTAATAATTGTTTGCCAAGCAATTGCCGACGACGACGACTTTAAAATGTTTACCTGTGCACTCGCCGTGCGACCAGGGCCGAACATTTAGGCAAACTGTAAACTGAAACTGCGTCCCACTCGACCTGCTCTAGGCCACGCCTACGAAGGGCCAGCCAACATTTCACAACATTTACCAAATTGAATGACAAACATTCAACTCGTCGCATTCAAGCGCGTATTTTTGGAGCTTGGCTCATCGTCGCTTTTGGCCCATTAATGAAAATATTTGGGCAAAAAGTTTCTAGCCGCAGGTGCATACTTAGCGCTGGAATTTAATGCGCTCCACTCTCACGGCCTAATAAAATTTGCTAGCATAATAAATCCGTAAATTGGCAAAGTTTGCCTAGCCGTCTAGGATTAGGCGTTTAATTGCATGGGGCAAGGGGCGAGGCCCTAGAAAACAGTATATTTAGCTCTGTGCGCAGAGTGGGTTTTATGCAAATACTAAAATAAACTGCTGCATACTTTGAGATGCCGCGCGAAAATTTCATTTAAATTCAATTGTCAGGCCACTAAAACCCGACTCTGTTTTAACTGTTTGGCGCAAATTGCTATTGCATTAATTAAATAGCGAATTTAAATACTTTACGGCAAGTAAATTAAGAGTATATTGGTTTTGCGCTATATCGTATGTTTTTGTCCGTCTGCTAGTCTAAAGGCAGACTTTCCAGTCTTTCTGTTGGGAATATTTCCTCATGCATAACTAAAAAAAGCTATAGAACCCAGCAACAACTGAAAACCTTTTCCAAAGATCAGTTCGGTAAAGTTAAAAATGTAAATACATTTTAAGCTGCATTTAGCTGAACTGTTGAGTCGGTAACAACCGCCTGACTGCAATACTCTGTATTGTTGTTTTTTCTGATTTGTTTCGTTTTGTTTTATTTTGTGGCAACTTACCTGGCTCGAGCGTGGTGGCCAGCAGCAGCGTGGGCAGGCAGAGCAATAGTATGCGCAGTTCCATTAAATGCAGCGGCAAACGCAGCAGCCGCAAACTCAGCAGCCCTGGTGGCAACATTTGTGGCCAGACGAGACTTCTGCTCAACAAAACGCACGCGCTTCGCTTAACGTATTGTCGGCGTGTGGCAGCTACAGCACAGCTGCGGCAACTTGGCTGGCTGGCGTCTTTAACTGTGACTAAACCGCACAATGGCACATCGATGCCATGCGTAGCTGTTGTTGTTCTTCTTGTAGTTGTTGTTGTTGATGTTGCTCGCTTATTAGGGTTAATGGCTTTTTGAATGAACGCGCTGTTTCCTTTCAGCACTGGCAACACAACTTTACGCACATATGTCTGCTGCTTGCTGTTGTTCTTGTTGTTGTTGTGGCTCTTGTCTGAGCTGATGCGCTGATAAATGATGCTTCTGCTGCTTCTGTTGCTACTTCGATGCAGTCCTTTTGCCACTTCCTGCTTGTTTTTTTTCCACTATTTTCTATTTCCTTGCGCCGCTTTGTTGTCGCTTGTCAATGCGTTGCCTGTGTTGTCCTGTTGCCAGTTGTTGTTCGGATTCCACCCACAGTGACAACGCGCAACACCTAACCCTGCTATACTCTTTTTGCCTCGCTTGTTGTTTGTATGTATCAAATTTGCAGCTTGTTGTTTGGCTCCTTTCTTTACTATAAGTTGGCTAGTTTGCTGCTCCTTTGGTTGGGCTGCTTGGTTGGGGCAAAACTTGCATGTTCTCCATCATTTTTCATGTCACTGCGCATTAGCACATTAAGCCACGAGCATGTTATTCTTGTTGCTGCTATTGTGTTGCACAGAAAAAAATTAACACTCGCTTTTTATGAAATTACATTCAATTTGCTGTAGCTACTGTTGTTATTGTTGTTTTTCTTTTGCTCTTCCAAGAATAACAACAAAAATCACGCGTCAAGCTGATGATGAATCGCTTTTAATGTAATATCTTTTCCCACTAGCAACTTTTTCGTTCTTCCCCTGGGGGAATTGTCAGTTGCTGGCGCTGCTCTCTTAATAAGTTCTGCTTGAATCATGTAGTTAGTCGACGCATTCTGCAAATCAGAAATATAGAAAAAGAAGTTCAAACAAGCAGATCATAAATGCAGTCGTAGTAATATAGAAAACGAGACAACTTAAGTATTTAGACCTGGCCTAAGGCCTGGTCTAAATACATGTTACTGCTTTGTGGTTGGAAAAACATTAAAAAGAGGGAACATTTTTAAATATTATAGTTATACCCCATTTAGTCTCACTCTTGAGATTATTTCTTAAGTGTAATATAATTGGCTCTTTCGTTGTGCATAATAGCAAATTCATAAGGCAAATGTTGAGATTGATGTTGTATTTTATTTTTTATTAAAAAAATTATAGTACATAGATTGGTCAATGTAAAAGCAAAATAAATCAACAGAAACAATTGTCAATTAAAATCCAGTCGGCATCAAAATCGGTTTTATTTTTGTTTAACCAAGTTATAAAAGTTTGAATTCAGCTTGCATAAATCCCATTGTCGGAGCTAGTCAGTAAGGCTGCTGTAGCTATTGTTGTTGTTGTTTTTTTCCCCATCAGCTTAAAATCAATGTACATTTTTAAAATCGCATAATTTGGATTCAGTGTAAGCTGCCAATTAATCCAATTAGAATGTGACTACAGAAATGCGACTGCGGCACTTTCCAATTGATTGTTTGTTTTTTTTTTTTTGTGTTTTTGGTACTTATTGAAGCGGTTTTATTTCAGTTGCATTAAATTGGGATTGCCTGCTGTTCTATAGAGAGTATTTTGTATTGTAATTTGCCCGCTTCCGCTGTGCCTTACAATTGCCTTAATTGTGTGTATACAAAAAAGCAAAAACTCTAAGGTTCTACTGCGCCCACTGATTTGCATGCAGAATGAAATTTATTTATTGTGCCAGCAAATTTGCCACATTATTTATAGGTCAACAGGAGGCAACTCTACCCGCTACTTGCTACAGTTTATGCAAAACTGGCCACAGCCCCGAGTAATGAATGGCTACAAGATTGTCTGGGGCACCGCGAGCTGCTGCTTCTTGAGATGCTGGAAAAGATTCTTGATGTTGCCGCGACGCTAGTTCACTTTTTCCTTCCCTCCTCTCTCTCTCTCCCTCTGTTATAATTCATATGCCCTTACAGAGGGTATTTTTATTTAATAATGCGAAGTGTGTAACGCATAGAAGGTGGCTTCTTTGAATCAACAAAGTATATATATATATTCCTGATCAGTATTCGTCTGCTTTTTTCTATGAAAAACTAATCTCGCAGTCTTAAAGGTTCGTCTTTCTGTCGCAGGCTATATCGAATAAGCCAGATCATAACTCTTTAACCTATAGCTCCCATTGAAAGAGTGTTTGTGAAGATTTCTGAACGATACGTGCTTTATCATTCTCGTCACTTGACTGTAAAAAAGCCAACAATTTGTCTAGAAGAGTATTTAATCTGCGGCGATACTTTCAAGTTACTTTTTGTTTGTTTATTTGTTTGCACGTACGGCTGACTTTGGTATCTTTTTTTCTGTATTTGTATTTTTATGTTAAAAGGCATAAAAATAAAATTTGGCAATTTGGTCAGAAAGTTTTTGAAGCAACTCATAATTTTTACTGCTTTTTATGCTTTTTTTCTATATATATTTTTATCTAACACATATCCCAGAGCACAAATTGAAGTCCCCGAACGCTGTCATGTTTTCAAGTGTATATATACGAATATGTATGTATATATAGATATACATGTTTATGCGCATACAGGGCCGGACTAAGGCATATAAAGCTAATGAATTTGCAAGTCCGTAAATTAAAATTGAAATTTAGCCACAGAATCGCCAAAGCGGCCGCTACTCATTTTAATTACAATACAATGTAACTATGTGTGCGCATGTGTGTGTGTAAAAGTATGCTGGTATATTTAATTAAGCGCGTCCATGGCAACTTATTTGCAACAAACATTAGCAAATGTCATGTGGCATGAATTTATGACACACTCGTGTGCAATTCATTTAAATTGATAAGAGCAGCTGATGTTTGCCTGCCCTTCAAGTGTCTGTGTGTATGTGAGGGGAGGGGATGCTATTTATTGTTGTTTGTTTCTTTTGCTACTTTTGCTATTTTTTGTATTAAATGCAGCAGTTTAGAGTAATTCGCCAGCAAATGTCATGCAAGTGGAATGCTATTTTATGTGCCAATGTCTGCCACGCGCTCTCTTGCCCGCCCTCTCTCTCTCTCTCTTTCCCTCCCTCTATGCAACACCAATATGCACTTAAATGCAGTCACGTACACACACAGAGAGAGAGAGCGAGAGAGAGAGAGAGAGAGAGAGAGAGAGAGAGAGAGGAGAGAGAGAGAGAGGAGAGAGAGAGAGAGAGAGAGAGAGAGAGAGAGAGAGAGAGAGAGAGAGAGAGAGAGAGAGAGAGAGAGAGAGAGAGAGAGAGAGAGAGAAAGAGAGAGGGAGAGAGAGAGAGAGAGAGCAAACGTACATATTATTATCTTGACACAATGGTGCCATAAAACTTAAAGACCCCCACAGCAGTTGCTGCCGCCTGCCCGCATGCCTTGTTCTTTCGCTCACGCCAACAAGGGCAAATGCTCGCCCCGCTGACTGAAGTGTGGGCAGAGGGGAACTGGGCCCGGGCACAGCGCTGTGAAGGACATGCCATTTGCCGCCCACTAACCCCCCTGCCACAATCATCAGCCCAGTCTCCGTTTGTGTTCCTACTGCTGCTGCTGCTGCTTGTGCTTTCTTTTCATAGAACTCGCACTCGCATATGCACATTTGTTTGGATTTTGCTGGCAGGCGATAGGGGTGAAGTAGGGGTCTTGGTTCGTTCATGTCCTGCTGCAAGCGCCTCGGGGCGCGTTGGAGGTTATATGGAAATTGTAATAAGTTGAAAACCAAAAAGCTGATGTCATGAGGTTAGTTGCTGTGGCTCAAGTTTCAAGCGACAATCATGTGCTTTTCTTTTGTATACTTGTTATTGTTGTTTTTCGTTTAGTGCTGCTGCTGCTTCTTCTTCTTCTTGTTGCTGCTGTTGTTGTTGTTGCTGCTGTTGTATGTTGACCTCATACTTCATTTTGTAGCTTTTGTTTGTCATGGCATGCGTTTGTTGTTGTTCTTGTTATTATTATTGTTGTTGCATAATGCACTGAGTCTGGGCCCCGATGTCGTTGCCGCTGTCGGAAATGTAACGGCATGCCACATGACACACACAGACAGGCATACACCCCTGACACACTCGCTCGTACACACTAAGACAGTCATAAATATTTCATATGCAACTGCTGTGCCGTATTATTGTTGACAGTAATTGAGAGAGAGACCGTAGTAAATTATTTAAATGTTTATTTGGGGATTTGCAGCTAAAGCGCACATAAAGAAAACGTAATGCTGGCGACTGGCAACTGTAGCTAGACCACAGTGCCTATGATGGATGTCCGATTGCATTGGGGAGTCGTTAGCCAAACAAGCGATTTGTTTATATTTATTACACCAGCAAATGCCGCCGTTATCGACTGCAAATAATTGCGACACATTTGCAAAAAGCTTAACATTTGGTAAAACGTGTTTGAGTCTCTTTTTTTTATGTGATATTTTTTTTTTGTTTATCAGATTGAGACACCCGCAGGCGTTGGCTTTTTAATTAGTGCGCCTAATTTAAGCGATTTAATTTGCCGGTCAAAATATTAGATAACCATGGAGCATTATGCATATAGAGCAGGAGTTAGGGAGGGTGGAGCAAGGGATTCTGCCTGTCATTAGCCGTAAGTTGAATGCATTTCAATTGCAGGCAGAAAGCAAAATGCAGCGAAACAATTGGAAATAGCCCATAAATATGCACGGGCATATAACAATGTCCATTTTGTGGCCTTTATTGTGGATGCAACAAACAAGCCACCGCCCCCCCCCCCCCCCCTGCCTCCTCCCTCCTCCTTCCTACAAACCCGCCGCACTGCAGCTGTAAATGGAAATTGCGCGTAACGCATTTTGATTGCACTTGAGTGCCAGCATAAAAATGCGCATTATATAAATTCGCCCTTAAAGTGCTGACCAGTTGTTGTTGCTGTAGTTGTAGTTGTAATGGGCTTGTATCTACATACGTGTAAGCGCCAGTTTGTATATAAATATATATATGTGTGTATGTGTGTGTGTGTTTGTGTGTCCGCGGATTTGCCTCTCGCCTGCCTGCTTGCACGTACGTAATTGTTTTGCGCACATTTCCGTTTCCGCTGCATTTCACTTGAATGACTTTAATTTACGCTATTTTTATTTACAGTCTTGTGGCCTCTCGCCCCTTCAAGCTGCATAATTGAGCAATTGTGTTGTTGTCCAGCCCAACAAATTGCCATGCATTTTGCATTAAGCAAAGTAAGATATTAAATAGATTTTCCAATAAAAAAAGGCGGGTGATATTTGTATGTTTATTGTTAAAAATTGCTGAGGGCTTTTAAAAAAGTATGAGAAAAATTTCAAACAATTTATAAGATATTTCTTCCACAGTTTTTCTATCGAACCGGTTCAAACGCGTAATTTAAATTTATGTTTTACTAGGAAAGTAAACATTTCTTTTAAGATTCAATTTGTTTTGTTTTTGTCATCGCTGGAATCGTTCAGTACCTTGATTGTTTTTAAAAATTTTAATATAGCTGAAACAGTGTTTGAGCCGAAAAGAGCAAGAACAGACACCTATTAAAATTGAAACTTGCAGCTGCTTGCAGCTTTTTTCAGCTTTATTTCATTAGCAGTACACAATTTGTGGGCCTTTGAGCCGTGCTAAGTATACGCAGCGTATGCGGCCTAAGCTGCTTAAAACGGTCTGCTTACACGCACATCTAGTTTGCGTGTGTTTGTGTGTGCGTGACCTGTTTGCCTGTCTGGCTGGCGGGCTGCAATGAATCCTTGCCACGTTGTTAGCAACGCACAAAGAGCAGCAGTAGCAGCAGCAACAGCTGAAGAAAAAAGTGATTCAAGAAACTTGCAAGTTGCAAAAGTTTTTCAATTTAAGCCAGTGCCAGGCGCCCCGCAGACACAAGCTCGGCTCGTGTTGC